AGCTTCCTTGGGGACTACCCCATAGTGTCCATACAAACAACAACAACAATAAAAAAAAAAAAAAAACCAAAAAACTGTAATTCTGATAAAACATACTTTATTTGTTCCAATCAAGTTTTAAAATTTGGCAAAACTGCATTATTATGAAAACCTTCAGGCAATAATGGAGAATAAACCTTAACACAGAACAACAAAGATTTTATTCCACAGTCTCTTGGACTTGAGAATCTATTTGAGTTCCAAAGATTATAATAAACTAATGGGGTTATGTCAAGCTGCCAATGTCCATGCTGAGGCTTTTCCTGATACAATCTTTTGCAATGTAAGCAACAAGGAAAAGATGAGGTTTTGGGTTTTTTTGTTTGTTTTTACAAACTCATGTTAAATACACAATGTCCAATGTCCAAAAAGAGACACCAAGATCTTTGCTTAAAAATAGAAATGCACAGTGCAGTGGCTTGAAAACTCTGACCTGCATCAGAATACCCGAAGAGCTTTTTAAAATACAGACTGTTGGGCCTCGCCCTCAAAGTTTCCGATTCAGGTGCTGGGTGAGGCCAAAGAATTTGTATTTCTAACAGGTTCCTAAGTGAAGCCAATGCCATTAGTGTGGGGAGCACTGGCAAAATATTTTCAGTAGGACAGTGATTACATCATAAAAGTGAGTATGTCATAGCATGAAGTGCAAAGCTTTGCAGTCAGACTAGCTTTGTGATGTTGAGAAAACTACCCTCCCAAACTGATCACTGCACAAATTTTAAAGAATCAAATAAAATATAAAGCACCTAACACATTGCCTGGCATATACAGCTACTGAATTACTAACCGCTGAATGTTGTTATGCTATAGTAAATTAGGGTTAAAGTTATGCTCAAATTGTTACCTGAGTCACCGTGCTTATTTGAACCTAAGGCATACTTATTGCAAAAGGTAACAAGAAACCTTTAGGCCTCCTATGATCGTAAGTTATCATTTCCAAAGTGTCCACTTATTCATCTCATTAAAATTTTCACTGACTCACTGATTTAATAATAAATACAGTTAATATGAACATGACTGGCATAATTTTACTTTAAATTAGTGTTTATTGTCCTGAGTCATCCATACATTCAACTTTCAATCTGCCAAAGAAAGCTAATAATTTTCAAACTTTCTTAGTATCAGATGAATGTATTCTTATTAAAAGTAATTTACAGATTCTTTAAATGTGGATTTCCTATAACTTTGACTGACAGCTTCATTCAAAACTTTGCACCACAAGAACAATAAGAGAAGTCAAACATCTTTCTATTCATTTTTCTTAATAATTTGCTTCCATAAAGCTAAAATATCCACTGATGATTATCATCTACCTTTGGGTAACCACAGTGAATAGTTCACATTTTACAGGAATGCAAATATTTCTTTGGATAGAAACCTGTAACATGATGTAAAGATTGTGAATTTCATGTCCCACGGTATATCTAAAAAGGGATAGCAACTAACTGATTATAAATGGATTAAGATTACATAGTGAATAATTAAGCACATTTTAACATGAAAACATACGTAACAGTCAAAACCTTTGTTTTCCACATGTATGAAAGTCCAATCTACCTTTCTTAACTGGCTCATATTAATTTTTTTTCATGTTGATTAACTATATGACACAAAGAGAGCTTTCTCGTTTACTTAAAAGCACTTTGATTCAGTCATACAAGTTTTTTGAAAAAGACAGTAAAATTATGGATTGGTCCAGGATTAAGAGGGAAGTTTTGCTTTCTCGCTTCCTTTTTAACTTCTTTTGGTTAGATATCAAATTAAAATGGATTGTAAAAGATATTACAACCAGTTCTTTCCCTTTAACATGAAGGTCCATCACTACATAATTCTTTCCAAGAGTTGGCCAAGAATAAAATGTTACCTTCTGTAGAGATGAAAAATAAAAACTAGAGGAATGAGATTAAGAAAATATGTAGGTACTTTACAGCTGCTGATAGTACTGTGTACACACATACATGCACACACACAGAGTAAATATAGGAGAAAAAATAGGGATATGATGAATTCTAAGATAAAGGGGGTTTCAGTTTCATTTAAGACTATGGGACCTTGCAAAATTTTTTCAATAGGCTTTCTAATGGAATATGTTCTTATATAAGGACTTGAGGCCTTATCTAAACAGACTGACTTCAGGATGCTTGTTCACTTGTTAGACATGTATGACATTAATGAGAAGATTTAGAGTTCTAGAAGTAAAGAAGACTGATTAGGTTGTGCAGGTGTATAAAGAATGACACATTAGATGAAAGGTTATATAAACCATTTACTAAAAAAACAAAGACCAAATTTTTACATTCCCAGACCCCTATTTATCTTTAAAAGATCTGAAATTCTTTGAATACCATCATATTTAATTTATAATAGTTCCAATAGTAAGTTAAGAAATTATTTGTGTAGTTTAAAACACAAAGACAATTAAAGATTTTTAGTCAAGTTGAACATTTGTGCACTTGCTCACTTATTCAAGAAGCCCCACCATTAATGTATTCAGATCTTAACACTAAATTTTTGTTTCTTAAAACATTATTCCTTAAAATAATACCAAATAAGGATTTTAAAAGTCCTATATACTGTTTCAGTAACAGTCACATTAGCTAATTAGATTATTAACATTATCCTTTAACTTCAAAAGTAAAAGTCAGGGTCAGAATTTAACTGGTAGTACAGGAAGGAAAAAAATAATCAGTGTTGAAAAATAAATGAAAACTTACTTTTTTATTAAGCATTTATTATTTTTTACATGCAAAGCATATTAAAAGTGAATCTATATTAAGTTGACTATTCCACAATGAAAAACTATGTAGTGGGAATGATCAAAGCTCTCTACACAGTAACAATGTTCAATAAATTATCCACATGTTTTTCCACGAATATTTGATTACCTAAATTAGCTGACTTTTCAACAAAACAGTATGTTTTAGCTTTCATATGGTCTTTGCTCGTAGCAGCAGCCAAATACTACTTAAATTGAGAAGAAAAACATAAGAATAAAAGCCCTGAATAGCATAGCCCTATCTTTCCAGAAACAAGTTCACCAAAAAAGTAGCATACACCTATTAGGTATCCAGAGGGGAAAACAAAACAAAACACCGGTACTTAATCAACGTCTATCAAGTGATCACCAATAACATTCTATTATTACCAGACCGACTGCCAACAGGTGAACTGTAGATCAGAGTAGACAAATACCTAAAAGCAAACCAGTAATCGATGAGGCATACAGAAATACTAACTTGACATCACATTTGAATACCATCAACAGTTTGGTGTATTTGACATACACTGAATTTTTTTCACTTCATTACTGCTATAAATCCCTTTAAAATGTTCTTTCACTAATGCATATTATCTTTAAAAATATGGTAAGATACTTCCTAATGTGCATCAGTTCTTTCACTCCACTTTTCAGTAACTACTGCAACAAATTAAACAGTACCTATTAATTACATCTAAAAGACAATGGATGGTTAACTAATACAAAAAAGTACTTTTGAATGAACTATTCATATTAGGTGAATGCTAGCTAAGATTGCATTTTGTGCTACTGACATGCACTACATAGATTGTAGACTGCTAGATGGAAGAATTGGTCCATGTCCACTTATTATACCTATAATAGTATACCCAGTTGACTAATAAAGATTGGCTGAAATCGGTATGAAATTTAATGCAACCCCCACATACATATTCCTCTCACGTACTCACACAATTATTTTTTGGGGGGATGAGGATGTGACTTTAACATGCTGTGAGATTCTAGCTAAGTAAAATAAAAACAATATGGGCTCAGGTTTTCTTGGGTTATGGTTCAAGTCTTTAAACTGAAAATGAAACAGCCACTTCTACACATCAAGGAGAAACTTAGCGTGGGAGAAGGTGCCTTTGTTTATGCACCTGATGAGCAAACTATTCGTTGTCTTATTAGTATTATGCTCACAGGTTAATGGAACAACAGAAGAAAAGAATTACACTAGTTCTCAGTTAAGTAGTGTAAGTTATAATCCTAACTGATGGGATGCCCTTTATTTATGACAGCATAATTCCAATGCAAAAGAAGTCAAGCTTTATTCTTACATATTAGGATTGGTTCACACACAACATGAGAATGTTTAGCACTAACTTTAACATGTGATTTTAAAGTTCTGATTCCTGAATGCTAGTTCTTTCTCACTTAATATATTCTCTCCAGTGAAAAACTGGTGTGTTTGGTTTCTTATATCAGAAGAATGAAAATATATGTCTAAATCCTTTAATAGGTTATTAACAAAATCATGAATAGTTATTAAATAAGTGCCAATACTGCATGGAACCATGGAACTTACTAGTCACTGACTCCAAAATCATACGACTATTTAAAAAAAAGAAAAGAAAGAAGAAAAATGACTATCCCTGTACTTGTGAATATTGTCCAGGACATCAGATCAATGATCAAAGCTACGGTCTTCGCTGTTTTGACTTATGATGTTGAACATATGGATGCTTCTATGGCATTGATTTGAATTGTTTTCAACAAAATATTAGTGGACTCGAAAATCTTATATTTTAATTTCTAATTATAAAAATCCAAATTAATCCAGAAAAACCACATATAACCGTGGTAGGTTTTTCACCTTAAAAATACATTGTTTCTACTACAATTAAAATGTTTAAAGATACTACATTGCTTCATGTACCTGCCCCGATACTTAATTTTCTACATTTTAAACTACTTGAATAAGTGTGACAGTGCTAATCTACTATATTTAGTATATCCCTTAGATCTTAGAAATACAAGCCTTTCCCTTCCTCTCTAATGGTAACTACCACACAATAAAATTACCAACAATTCTAGAAAAATGAACTAAAGATTACTACAATAATTTTCAAGTTAATTCATACCAGAAGTCAGAGAGGCAAGTCATGTTCATTTTAAAGATAATAAAATGAAGTACTGTTTCGAAAATGATCTCATAAACACATTAGAACTTTGGATGTGCTTTATTATGCCATAAATTCCCAGGAGATATAAGAAATAATATTTCTGAGTAGGACTAATAATTTCACAAATACTAGCATTTTATTGACAATAGCCAAGTTTTCTAGGGTAGTGCACATGTACTTGAACTACCTTTTTAAAATCTCAACAGTTTTTATAAATTTTAAGGGGAAACTGTAGCAGATCCTACTTTATTTTTCAATAGTTAGTGTAAATATCTGTATGTGAAATAAATACACATTTTAGGGAGGTGGGAAAAGGACTGTATGTGAAATGCTTTGCCTAAATTGTCAGGTTCCTGTATTTGCACTTGATATCATTATGCTAAAAAAGCAAAAATCATTGCTGGAAATGTTCCCAATAAACTGAAGAAAGGAAAAATTTTGAAACAGCTCAGGCTTTAAAAACATTAATAACTGATACAATTTTAAAAAGTAAAATAAAAAGTTCTTTTATCTACATATGAATTAGACAATTGGAAGTAATTTTTTTACCAAAAAAACAACATACTAATATATTTTAAAGTTAATGTTGATAGCATTTTCACAACATCCAAAGTGTGGATGAGGAACTAGGCAATAAGATTACTTCTGCCACATGCTTAATGGTAACTAAAGAGAGATGAGTACCTCACAACCAAAGGAGGTGACAAGGCCTGGAATAACACCTTTACACGTGGGTGGCAGATCACTACTGCCATGCTGGGGAAAAGTCCCAAGAATGAAGCCCTTATGAACTAATTCTGCACCTATATACCAGATTTGGTAATCTAACATTGAACTTTTTGTGAGCAGTGAATATATATCTATATGGACATAGGAAAACTGCCCTGGACACCAGTTTAATTATTAAATAAAAGGGGAAAACGCTGGTACCTAAAATTATGTCAATTCCAGGGTCATCAATGGAATACAGGAGTAAACACACAACAGCAGCTATTTCCAAACCAGGTTATGATCAGAATCATCACATGATGAGCTTTAAAATGCTCAAGTGCAGGGTCTCAACATAAACCTATCTAGAAGCTACAGTCAGGGAATTCTTTTCAAGTTCCTCCAGTGATTCTGATGAGCAGCCAAGCTCGAAACTTCTAAAGTGGGGTTGGGTGAAAGACAATCTAGCTAAATGCAGAGATTTTTAGAATTCAATATCTAATACTTATTATCATTTACTCCACATTTTCCCCAACTATTTCACTTTCCTTATTTTTCTAATAGTGAATAATGAAGGGGCTTGGCAAGTGAAAGAAAAAGGGTAAGACATCCGAAGTGGATTTTACTATGTTTGAGCCACTTTTGTATATTAATTGTATAAAAGGATACCAGTACCACTGTTTGAGATTCAGCTATCAGGCAGACATTTCTTAATGTTACTATATTTTAAAGGGGAGGTTTTCTTACTCAACATAAAAATGTAATATAAAACAAACCTAAATACTAATGATATTTAATTGAAGAAAAAATTTGTATAACTTCAAAAATAATTGTTTTAAAAATTTCAATGTTAGAAAACCCCTTACATTTTAGATAAGGGAATATTCTCTCATGAGAAAAACTGTATCACAGTGTTATTTTCCAATTCAGAAATTAGATGAAATACTTTGGTACTATTTCTGCTTATGTGCTATTTTGTTAATATGGTATAAATGTTTTAAGTGTGGATAAATATTTTGGTTTTGATTTTAATGCACATAATATAATAAAAATATGAATTTTTTCTTATATACTGAAATTGTACACATTTTCCAGGCCTGAAGGACAAACAACTTTTTAAATATCTAATATTCACTGATAAACCTTGAAACAATCAAAAAGGTAGTACCTAAATAAGAAATTTTACATTTTAAAATGTATGTTTTTAGAAGTTAAGTCATTTTAAATTTTTTCAATAATCAAACCCCAAATAGTAAATTTTCATTTACTATAGCACAATTCAAGTATTCTCTTAAATTTATATTTAGCCAACTAGAACATGATATTATTGACTTTTTATAATAGCTTTCCTTTTAAAAGATTACTGTTACACAAAATAGTGTGACTCTATTATTCTAAATTGTTTAGAATAAGTGGAAAGAACAAATGACAGTAGACAAAGGCCTTTATAAGTAAGTCATCAACACATATAAGGTTACACACATCAGTAATAAGGCATTTGTAAGTAACTCCCCAAAAGTACTTGAATTCATGTAAACAAAGACTATGTATATTTCTTTAGGGAGAAAATGCACTACCATAGATAAAATATACTCAAACAGTTGTGACTTTAAACCATATATTATTTGAATACCACACAAAACCAAAAGAGGCATTACCTATCATCTTAATAACTGAAAGACGTCAATCATGAAATAAAAGGTTGATACTTTTTTGAAACTAATAAAGAAAAAGAAATATATTGAAAATAAACATCCATCCGTTTTCCAGAAATAAATACACATACTAAGTTATTTTAACATATTGCAGCACAGGAATATTGTCCTAGCATCGACCATAACATTCAATCAGTAGTTTTAAAATGTTTTTTCCACACTGAGCCTTGAAATCTTCTACCTTGTCAGCTGCCCAACAACTTTCAAAAGAGTTTTATTTTCCTGCTTTAGTTGTTCATTTTCATCTTCTATATCATCTAGGTCCTTAAGGGGAAAAAAGGAAAATAATACTTTAAAAATATTTAAAATTTTTCTTAAGGAGATAAAAATACTTTTAAAAATATAAATTCACAGATAATTCATATAATCAATTAATTATGAAATGGGGGAAAGTTCTAAAAATAACTTTAGATGAAACATATTCCACCTAAAGTAAGCATCCATCACTTGGCTCTTCATTGTTATCACAAGTATGAAGGCCAACTCTTATCAAATCTCAGTTTTTCAAGAGAAGTCAAAAGTCAGGATTTTTAAATTGTGAATCTTCCAATTTTTAATAATTGTAACTAACTTAATTTTTTTTTGTTGTTAAAAACAAATTCCATGCCCCTTTCCCCAAGTTGAGAGCTAAACAAAATACATATGCAGACCATATGTGGTATTGGGCCCCAGGTTGCAACCTTGTGTCAAATTGGGCATCAAAACGTACAGGTGCAAATTCTGGATGTACTCCTACCAGTCTGTGTGATCTTTAAAGGGGTACATTTGAGAATGAGATTCTGGGGAGGTGACAGAACTGGCGCATACAGAAAAGAGTATCTGAGGCACAAAGAGGATCTAGTTCAATTTGTATGCTGGGCGTCTTCATGATGTTTTGACTGAGAGAAATGTTTTAGAGCTTTAAAAAAAAAAAAATCTAAAGCCACTAAACTAGCTATTCGCTCTCCAGCTTTAGAAGTATATGTTCCCTCTATTAATACTAGTCCCAAATATACAACCATCTGGGTAATACTAAAACAATCCACTGTAAGTTTTAGTTACAAAAAACATTATTTCAAGGCAGATTAGTTAATTGTTAGAAAAGCAGACATTTGGGCCGGCCCGGTGGCGCACTGCTATAGTGCGCCGCTTGGGAAGCGCGGTGGCGCTCCCGCCGAGGGTTCGGATCCCACATACAGACCGGTTCCTGCTCACTGGCTGAGCGAGGCGCGGGAGCAACACCGAGGGTTGCGATCCCGTTGCCGGTCCCGGTCCGGTACGGGGGCGACACTGAGGGTTGCAATCCATTGCCGGACACGGAAAAAGACAAAAAGCAAAAAAAAAAAAAAAAACTAACATTCAAAAAAATATTTGACAGGAGATAGGAAAATTGCATCACATGGTAGTTCTATGTTTACATTGCAGTTTAAAATACTAAAACTTGATACAATCAATTTGAATCACAAGTGTGCTATAGGGTAACAGCATTCTGATAAATTTAGTTTACTGCCTTTGGACTATTATGTAAATTATTTTAAAAGTTACAAAATTAGAATTTGTATTTATTCACAAATTAAATGTATGATGCTGGGAAACTAAACTGTTGAAACAACAATAAAAATATAGGATTCCTAAAATTACCACAACTGAGATCTACCTAAGATTCAGAATTAAATGATAAAGCACATTTACGTATCATTACTAGATTATAAATTCTGTAAGGGCAGGAGTTTTACTATTCGTTTTAATGCCCACAGTGCCTAAGACAGTGCAAATACATGATGGACATCAAAAAATTTGCAGAATTTCTTAAATCAAACTCCAGCACCAACATAGGAATGCTTGTGTTGGAACCAGGATGAAAGGCAGTCTATGAAGAGTAGAAAGACATACAAGTAGGACTATCAAATATGAAGTCAAATACTGGCTCAGAAGATTACTATATATGACCTTAAGCAAGTTAAACTCTGAGCTTCACTGTCCTCATTTATTATCTGGGCTTAATGCCTTCCAGCTTTATTAGAACAGTTCCACACATAATGAAGACTATTTTCTCTCTTTCACGAGTTAAGATTGGATTGGGGATCTGTTCTTTTTCCCTGCTGCAAACTTATTTCCTCCATCTTATCTAAAGCCCTCTAAAAAGCAAAATTATGGAATCTCTTCTCACTATCATCACCTAAGTATGACCTAGCACTAATACCTGCTTATTAAGCAGCAAGTAAATTCTGGGGCTAAAAACAAAAAGAAGAGTATACAGGTTGAGATAATGCTAAACCTAAAGTTGGGGATGCATTATGTATAACTGGAGAAAAAAGTGGTAAAAAATACACACAAAGACATCTGGAATTTCTTACAGTAATAATGTACCAATTTTAGTTCTTTACTGAGGCAACTCTGCACCAGTGCCTTTTTATGTATGGTGGTGACCAAGCTGCCTCTCACCTCCAGACTCTAATAAAACACAGAACAAACACATTCATAAGTCTGTCCGCAAAAGAATATTAGATGAGTTAAACTGGTTATTGCCCAGAAGACATCAGTTTATGGAATGACATGAGGTTCTTACCACTATGAGTTACTATCTCACTAAAACTAGAATAAAATGAATAATGCAATTAAATAATTTCTTCATATTTATGTATATTCATGCAACTGCCCCCCCAAAAGGAAAGGAAACCCTAAAACTGAAATATGTGAAATACTTACTCTATTTAACAAGTCAATCTCTTCTTTGAGTTTTCCAATCATTTCCTCTTTATCTTGCATCAGTCTCACAAGTCTTAGGTTTTCTTGCCTTTCTCTTACTACTTCCTGGTAAATATAATTACAAAACATTAACAGGGAAGTTATTGGTTATTTACAATCTTCATAAACAGCATACATTTGCCAAGTGTGGTAAAGTATCTTAGATACATGAAGATTTCCAATGCATTCCTTAAGATACTTGGTGAAGGAACAAAGAACCCACCTCAGAAAAGAATCAGAAAATGAGAATATAAGAGCTGTAAGGTATATTCCTGATTAAACCCATGTTTACACAAGTCTTTAACAAATACTAATAGACTCAATGACTTACCTTCTTTAGCTTATCACCACCATTAGTTATGAACTATGTTGGTATTTTTTTATGGGTAATGCTTTATTTGAGAAAATTCAAAATTATTAAAAATACAAAGTTTAAGTAAAAGAAATGGCTCATGGAAAATTCTACACAGAAAAACAATGATCCTTAATTTTACTACTGGCTCTGCCAGTTAACTGACAATAGATAAAAAGAAGGAACTAAAATGGATTACTGATTTTTAAACTTTTTTTCTTTAAACATTGCAATACTCTTTTCAAAGAAATCTTATTTAGAATCCAGGATCTTGGGGTGGGTCAGCCACGTTGTGGGCAAAAGGGAGGCAGAGCTGAAAAGGCCTCACCCAGAACTTGGCTTCTTTCCTTCTAACTCTCAGAGAAAGCAGCCACCCATATCAATCAGCTGCTGCCAAACCTAGAAACTCAGTCCAAACTCCTGTATAACTCCAGAAGCCTTGCTGAGAACTCCCTTGAAAACCATTAGATTATGTGTTCCCTAAAACTTCCAACTTAAATCCACAAAATAACGGTTCCCTGTAGAAACTATTGTTTAAAGCTTAGATGTGACCTAAAATAACTGTAATCTTATTAAACAGAAACAAATTTTAAAATTAAATCTTTACTTAAAACAATCCTTATATCACAGGGAATGATTTTGGTTCAGTAAAACAAAAACATATTGTCAACAATCAGAAAGTAATTTAGCACCATTATCAATTTTAGGAGTTGAATGTCTATGGAGCAAATCTGACACTCTATGGTTAATAAATTTATGCCAATATTCATTTGAGTTCTTCTCAAATATACTTCTAAACAGGATTATTCTTACACAAAATTGTTTCAAACACTAAAGATGGGCCTAACTCAGAACCCAGTGGAAAGTCTACAATAACAATCTATTCAAACAATGTAATAAATACACAATAGTATATATTGCCAGTTCAAACCTATAATCACATCAAAGACAAATACTATTTTCAATATATTAGCAATAACACTTGGCAGAATAGGAGTATCCATTAAATATTAAGGAATACAAGAATTGGCTCTATTTCTAAGGTTTTAGCATCAACAGAACTGGATAAAAAAATATGAAGGAAATCAGAAAATGCCTAGCCCATTATGTATCTAGAAACTCTGTACTAAAGAAAGTGATTGCTAGCTGCTATTTGACTATACAAGGGGACTTTGAAAAGTTCATAGAAAGATTTGTGTTATCTTTTAATTCTATTTTCCATGAACTTTTTGATGTACCCTGATCGAAGTACTTTCGAAAAGTTTGTGGAATAATAGAATTAAAAGATAATACAAATCTTTCCATGAACATTTCGAAGTACTCTTGTATTTGAAAATACCCATTAACATTCATATTTCCCATGAGTGCCCCTCATTCTTTTCCCTTTTTTTCAGCACTATCTCTCCCCTACAAATTTCAATTTGTTTCCTCTCTCACTCAGCTGCTATGAAACTGAAAAAAGAATACTAATAATATATTAATTTTATCATAGTAAATAATATGTAATTCATACCTTTTCAAGATCTTCAATTTTCTTTTCCAATGTGCTACTTGAGACCAAATTACCTGGAACATTTGCATCCCTGTTATATCTACTGAACCCACTTCTATCCATTCGGAGATATCTACCTGAAGCATCTTCTTCAGAAGCAGCAGTTGTGCTATGTAAATAAAAATACACATTTTATAAAGATCTTTAGTACTCAACAAGAAAGATGCCAAGAATATTTTCTATGTAGCCTAAACATTTAACATTACCTGAGGACATATGGTTATGGTAGCCAACTTATTTACAACTATAGAAGTTAATCATTACTCCAACACAATGAAAAAAATGTAAAAGGAACATTAATTTTTTTAATCAATATCTACTGAGTCACTGCTAAGTACTGGCTAGACATTGTTCTGGTTACTAAAGATCTGACACAGACATTGGATTCTGCCCTACATAGAACTTTCAGTTTAACAGAGAATATAACCAATTATAATAAAGCAAGATGACCTTTACAATACAATGAGAACTATGACAGGGTCGATCTCCTAGAATATTTGTGAAGAACAACTTTCCTTTCTTTTTTCCTTTTTAAAAATTCTACAGTCCTAGTCAAGATGGCAGAATAGACGTTCCCCAGCATCACTCTCTCCCACAAATCAACCGATTTACAACTATAAAAATGTAACAACAGCAAAGTTGGGGCCGCTGGAGCTCGGGGGAAGAGGAGCAGAGACCTCCCGAGTTCATGTAGGGGGAGAAGCCACGATAAGAGAAAGAAAAAACTGCTCAGAGAGTTTCAGGCCATGACCGCTTTAATGCTAGAACTGCTGAGCACACAGAGCAGGAGCCGGCAGAAGCTGCAGCTGTACCCTTCAGATGGAGTTGCTTGGAGACGGCAGGGGAGAAGAGGGCCTTGGTGGCCCCCAGGACAGCAATACCACTAATATGGTTCCTGTGGACCCACAAAGGAGTCAGGAGCCAGAACAGCTGAAGAAGGGGAGCCATTCAGAGGCTGGTGAGTCATTGCAAGGGACCGGTGCAGGCCCGTCCCATGGGAAGTGTTTGCAGCACAGGTGGTGGGGGAGACAGGCCCACTGGGAGAACACTGGAACACAGCAAGGGCAGCCGATCTGCCCCTCAATCAGCACAGAACCACTAAGAAGAGACTGGCCGAGAATGCAGAATTGCATGGGGTGCAGTTTGATGAAAAGATTCAGGCCCAGATCAGAGTTTCTACACAACCCAGGTGCACCATGTCTCTGTAGAGCCGGAAGGACCTATAAGTTCAACCATTAAACCCTGAGCTGCACAAAAAGCCTTCCCTAGGCAAACAGCAGCAAAGCAGCAATTTAGCTCAACCACACAGCTCAAGTACTAGTTCCCACAGGAAGTTCCCTCATTTTAGAAGTAAAGGACAAAAAATTAGCTCCGGACCAGACTCCCGTGCCCACATCCAGGCACACTAACAGTGCCTCGGGGCCCCACCCTGGGTTCCAGGGCATGAAACCGGGACCAGACCCCCCTTCCACAACCAGGCATACCACCAGCACCAAGGAGTATGCCAAAAACATCACCTCCATGTGGGTGGCCCACCACAGACACCACAGTAACCACAGCAGCTGCAAAGTGGCTAGACATCACAAACACCATGCAGATGGTCCACCAGCCACTGGAGTGCACTGACACAAGGAGAGTCACCAGCACAGACCAAAGAAGAGAAGAGGATGTCCCTCTCCACAAAGCCCATTCCAGAGTGACAGAAGAAGCATCTGCTCTATGACAATATTGGGGGACCTGAAGACACCTTTCAGCATTGGACAGATCATCTACACAACAAATCAACAGAGTAACCATTACTCTTTCAGAGTGAGAGAAGAAATCTAGGGTTATCAGTGGTGGGAGGGGGGAGGGAAGGGGGATAGGGAGAGATTGGACAGGGGCATACAGAATAAGTACAATTTATAACAATATACATACTAGTAATATTGATTTGATCAACATATGTCAACACTGAATCCCCAAAATATTTACAATCGATTATGATCCAATAAAAAAAGTAATAATAAATAAATAAATAAATGCATAGGAAATGGGATGAGGACTATGTAGCCCCTGGGCAAGACCAGGATGCCATGGGTAGCCTTGCAGAGAGGAACAGCTCCAAGTTTCCTGGCTTCTGCCCTGAGTCCCTCTGGCTAAGGGTCTCCCCCTGACATCTTCTGTGGATCAAGAACAGCACAACTCCATCCTGGACCAAAATCGCTCACTCAAGTTCTCCAAGCTTGGGAAACCAGTCACCAAGAGCTTGTAAAGGGAGGGGATGCCAGTCTATGGGGCTCCAGGTCCTTGGGCTTACTCTGGTTGTTTTTTTCCCTGTTCCTTTCAAGAGCTTTCTTAATTTCCCCTTCCACTCTCAACTCCTGTCGGGGGACCAAAGTGTAGAGATACCCACCTCCAAACATACACTTGACAGAAACACACTCACAAATCTATGCTTTCAGGCTGGGGGGTTCCTCCTCAGATGCTGTATCTTCTGGAGTAATTTCAGTAGTAGCAACTTCAAGAGGAGGAGAAGGGTCCTTAAAAACTCTACATCACATCCATGTGGGACTAACTTCTCTTCCCTGGGTTCTCAAAGCCCCAATTTAATACAAGCTTATTAACACATAACATTTTATTTTTGTGTGTGTGTGACCGGTAAGGGGATTGCAACCCTTGGCTTGGTGTCGCCCGCACCGCGCTCAGCCAGTGAGCGCACCGGTCATTGTGACCGGTAAGGGGATTGCAACCCTTGGCTTGGTGTCGCCCGCACCGCGCTCAGCCAGTGAGCGCACCGGTCATCCCTATATAGGATCCAAACCCGCGGTGGGAGCGCCGCTGCGCTCCCAGTGCCGCACTCTCCCAAGTGAGCCACGGGGTCGGCCCTAACACATAACATTTTAATTTGCCTTTTCAATATGCTCTGCACTGTATAAGCGTAACAAACTTAATAATATCAGGATTTCATATGTTAATTACAATGTTCCCATTTCTTTGAGAAGCTCTATCCAGTTGAGGTTACCCATGTGGAAAACAAACTTCTGGAAAGGGAGACAGTTTCTGGTCCTCTCACCCACCCCACTCCCATCTCCACTCCCAAATTGCTGTATTAAAAGCAATAAAAAATAAAATAAAATTCTAATGTTTCATGGGCCAATATTTTTGTAAATTAAAATAAAAGTAAACTGCTGGAAAAATAACAGTAAAAAGGACCATACAAAACACAAGCCCAAATGTTTTATTAGATTCAGACCCATCAAATTATAAACAAAATTAGAATAGGAAAAAAGAATTACACAAAGTTGCAAATTTTTCACTGAAAGTTCTATATTGGAAGTTATCTATAAATTACCCTAAAACTACTCCATAAACAATTACCCCAAAACACAGTGGCTTAGCTGGGTGGTTATATTCAGGGTCTCTCATGAGTACACAGTCTACTGAGGGCTTGAGTGGGCTGGAGAATGTGCTTCTAAGCTTACTCGCATGGCTGATGGCGGAAGGCTTCAGTTGCTAGTTATGTGGGCCTCTCCACTGAGCTGTTCATGGCAGCTACTACATGGTAGCTGGCTTCCACAGAGAAAGTGACAGAACAACTGAGACAGAAGCTGCCATGTCTGTTAGAAGGCAATCTCTGAAGTGACATAGTACCACATCTGCCCTATTCCATTGGTCACACATATCAACTGTGGTGCAGGGTGAAAGGGGATTAGATAAATTACCAGGAGGTAGGGCTCATTGGGGGTAATCCTGGAAGCTGAGTACCACACTTGTTAATTTATCTAATCTAGGTTGGACTGATGACAATGCTACTCACAAGAAATAATGTATATTTAAACTGTTTCTATGTTTTGTTTTACAGCACTTACAATGGAGAAACTAGACTCAGGAATAAGAGAGGTTTTAATGCAATTGCTATAAATTCAAGATATTTATTCTAAAAAACTTTAATCCAAAATGCAAAAAATCTGCTTTTCAAAATTTGTCTTCAATCCTTCATTGGTAGTCAGTTCCAATTTATCCAGCAAAATTATAGTTATATCTAAAATAGCTTTTGATGAAAAAAATAGATTCTTGGTCTGTGAATTTCCTAGCCATGAATTTTCTTTTGATGGAAAAGAAAATTCAAAGTGTCCTATCAAATTTGTAAGGAATCTGACTAACTTATTATGAGGTGCAATACCAAGATCACCACGTACTTTACTGATCATTGATACTACACAGTAGGACCCATCATAACAAGCTATAGAAAATTTTCCTTTGAAAACCATATACCTCAGCATATAACAGTTAATTAGCTCAATTGATAAGATCAACTCCCAATGAGATTTTTTAGAAATCTTAAATTTAATGCATCAGTGTTTAAGTAATTCACATTTTAGTGAACTTCTGTTAATTCAGCTGTTATAGCAAGCATACTGTTTAGTTCAGATGACACAGTAATACTTTTTCAATGAAAGAAGCACAAGAAGTTCCAGCATGTTTTTCTTGTCACTGTCTCTGCATAATCAGAATATACTCCTACAAAAGCAAAGGAAAACTCCACACCACAATTGTTGATACTGTAACCCTTTAAAGTTTTATATTCTTCAGAGCTACTTGTGTTTCTTCTGAACCACAATCCTATTTCCTAAATACATCAAGCTAGAGTGTTGCTGGAAAGTGGAAGACGAACTACCTTCTTTGCTACACATCCATCCAACATTTCCAAGCAAACATATTTTGTCTTGTCATTTGTACACAGATTTATAATGTTAGCAACAAATGAGACTTTATAAGAAATCCACAAAATACTAACAATTACATGTGAAATCATGAACATCTGCTTGTCAGCTTTTTAATGTAACATTCTTCCTTTTGAATAATGAATTTGGTTTTTGACATATTTATGCTGTGCATATAAATGCCATTTAAATTTTGATGGTTTTATTGTTTCATTAGCCAGTGTATCTCCATAAATAACTCACTATTGCTTTAGCACTTCCTCATCAATTAAGGCTAAAAACTGAACTCAATTTAGGAGAGATAATACTTCACAACAAAACTACTACGAACTGAAAGGATGACAGGACCCGAGCTGACAGTTCACCGGAGAAGTTCCACTTTATTCAAGGACTGCGCATATAT